AGCAGAGTGAAATTGGAAACACCACAGTGTCCAGTCTTTTATAGTCTTGTGAAGACCCATAAGCTAGCCGCTACTGATGACACGCGCTTTTTGACCGCCGAACAGTTAAAAATCAGACCGATCATAAGTTGTGTAGGAGGACCAACCGACCGAATATCCTGGTTCTTGATTGAGATTGTTAATCAGTTGCTGGACCAAGTTCCGTCCCATTTAACCAACACGAATCACTTTCTGGAACGCTTGCGCAATACGAATTTACCGTCTAATTGCGTGGCAGAGTCCTTTGACGTGGTGTCTTTGTACACCAATGCTCAAAATGACGATGCTCTACAGGCAGTTTCAAAAATGCTGGACAACTTTGGTAAAAAGATCCACACTTTCGGATTGAGTAAAAGATCGGTAATGCTCCTGATCAGAGAATGTCTCTCTTGCAACATCTTCAGATGGTCAGGAACATACTACACTCAACTGAGAGGTTTGGCAATGGGACAAAGACTTGCACCAGTACTCGCGATATGAGCAGAATAGAAGAACCAGTGCTGTCACGTCTGCCTCTTATGTACTGCCGTTATATAGACGACTGTTGTGTCATAACATCAACACAGTCCGAAATGTATGAGTGTTTTCGATTGCTCAATCAACAGTCACAGTACATAAAGTTTACGCGACAACAACCGAAGGATGGCTGGCTTCCTTACCTCAACGTACAGATCAAACTGTTCAACGGCGCCGCGAATGTAAATTGGTATCGTAAAGAAAGTTCAAAGAACATCTTGATAAATGCTCGTTCAGTACATCCAACCGCTGCTAAAAGGGCCGTTATACGTAACATGCTCAAGACAGCAGCGAATGTGTGCACAGGAGAAGAAGAACGGAAGGAATCGCAAGGAAGGGCGCTGGAAATTGCTGGATTGAATGGCTACACGCTCCAGAAAGGACGTGCTAAGCCAATCATTCCAACCAATAGCAAACAGCACCATCAGAAAGTTGCTCTTTGTCTTCCTTTCGTTTCCGATGCGACTAGTGCCGCAGTGCGACGTTGCATTAACCGCGCGAATTTGAAAGACGATGTCATTTTAATTGACATTCCAAGTGACAACATCAGAAAGCGGCTAGTACGTAATAGACTCTATGACAACTACTGCAGGGTCCAAGGCTGTGTAGTTTGTTCATCCGGTAGAGTTGGCGACTGCGGTAAGGCTGGTGTAATCTATGAGATCGAATGCATTGAATGCAGCGCCACTTATATCGGAGAGACTGGGAGACCGTTGGATATAAGGGTAAAAGAACATCTTGCCAGTAAGAAGAAGGGAAGTCTTACCACTCCTCTTGGTAGACATAGAGTTGAATGTCATGGTGGTAACGATTTTGAGGTTAAGTGCACTATACTGGCATACGAGTACGACACTGCTGTAAGGAAAGCTCTCGAGGCATTCTGGATTTACGCGAGAAACCCATGCATGAACAGCCGAAATGAGTGTATGTCAATTACAAATGACTTTATGCCTTTTGTGACGTTATGCGAGTTGAAGGCCACTAGTGATTAGTCCATATATGGTATACAGTGTATTCCATTATTGATACTAGTGGCATCGAAGGACGGCCGCCCTAACATCCGCGCGCCGACGGTGGAGGAGGTCAGTTCGTCTTTCACGTTTGGGACTTTTTCTTGTGATATTCTGGGGCAAAATCGAGGCTGGTCGGGTGGTGGAGGATTTTGGTGGGTTAGACACATAATCAAAATCTCCTACCACTTTAGGCCTCTGAAGAAGACGACTTGTTCGAAACGTTAGGCCGCCACTAATAAAGACCTACTAACCTCGGAAGGCTTACTTACATATTAACTCAAATATTAGTGTTGGAATAATTGCCGAGAACGTGGGAGTCAAGATTGTGCCCGGACGCTGCCTTCAAGAGAGCTAAGGGAGCCTTTAGACCGTGCTGATTATCGGTTTTGCTGCCGATAGCTGCTTTCGCGCCGGTTGCTGCTTTTGTAGATGAAGCGCACTGGGTCAGATCATGTCCATGGGGCGCGTATGAACTACTTATCTGCTTTAGTGATAGTTCTGGGATTTGCAAGTCTTTTCTTTGCAGTTCTTTCGTTTAGCTATTCTGCATGTAATAAAGGTATTCGTTCAGGGACGAAATTTGTTGATCTCACTTGCATTTTGTTACTATTCTAAGTGCTAAAATGATCCATTCATTGCCAGAAAAAGTTTCTTTCAAATTTTCAACCCGTTTGAAACTATTCGTTCACACCAAACTGAGTACCATCATTAAAGGAGGCTTTTTTCAATCTAGTTGCTTTATCACCTACTCTTCTGTGCTGAGTGAACGACTTCGTTATGAAGCAAGGCTTTTTCATATATTTTTGAAATTATTCCACAGGCTGGATTGAATTATATACCGCAAAAAAATGTTTTTGAGATCCCAGTCTCGTATTGAGGCTAATGTACTTACTTGCTGGGGGGGGGGGGGATGTAGTGCGAAACGAGCTTCGCTTGTACTTTCTTTGGTTCGGAGCTCTTCCACTATGCTGTATGAATGATATCGTTGTGAAATGAAGTTCCGTTCCACTTTCTTTGTTTTTAGATCTACTCTTTTCCGTAGCTACCATACTATACTGTATTGTACGGATCATTGCCAAACAAATTCCTCTATTGAAAAACGAATTGAATCTCGTTCTCCTATGATTTCCCTCAATCAGCATAACATACCAACCTCTGAACAAAAGGTTCAGCAGAAGGTTTATATAACTTACGTTTAATCGAACAAGTAGAAAAGCTGTGAAACGAAAGGTAAATCGACAGAATTCAGTCTGCAACAACATCTCATGTAGCAACGGAGTACAGCTTAGCTTATAAGGAAACATCGTTCTGAAACGAAATAGTTTACTACCGCATAGGAGGACAGCCGAAAAGCCCCACAACGAAAGTCTTGGAAAATCCTGAAACTATCACTTCAAAGCGAATGAGTTTCTTATACGTGCCCCACAGACGTAATATACGACCCAGTGCGCTTCGGCAGCAAAAGCTGCAACCAGCTCGAAAGCAGCTGCTGGCTGCAAAACCGACAACAGGCGCGGTCTGAAGGCTCCCTTATTGCTCTTTCTCCTTTGCTCGTCCGCCCTTATTTTTCGTGCGCTGCCTCACTGCTTTCAGAGTGACGCCCAGGGTTGAGCGTGGGGTCAGGCGCGCCCGACCTGGGGGGTCGTATTGGGGGTAAGAGCAAGGGGTGGGGGGTCGTAATCAAAAAGCGAATTTGTTCAAGAAACTGAGGAAATACTACGGTCGAGTAAGGTGAAAAAGAAAAGCGCTCAACCATGAATCTCACAATCCCACCAGAGGAATGACCGTGATGAACATGCTGGTTGACTTGAATAACGAAGTCTCAGACAAATTTCAGTTCGTCATCTTATCTTACACATACCGTAAGGTAACCAAAGAAGCTTTTGTAAATTGGGTATGAATTCCGTAATCAGCATGCCAAATTACCTCTGCGAACCGCTACCTATTACATTTTCTAGTGTTTCCTAACGTTTATAAAACATGATTTTCAAACATGATTAACTTGGTCATAAGAGTGAAAGAAGTCAGCCTTTTTGTATTCTTAACGAAGTCTTACTCTTTGTTAGTATATGGTAGAAATTGGACTTCATATCGCTTCCAAATAATGGATTAAGAAGTGCTGCCAAAATTTAAATGACAGCGTTTTCCACCTTTCGCTCTCCTAACATCTGCATGGACCAGCTGCAGATTACAGGCACCATTTCCAAGTTTCACCTGCAAGGTATCACTGTCTGTGATACATGTTTTCACGCATCATAACAAATTAGTGTTGAAATTTCCAAGTTTCCTCTTTCTTGAACCTCGGCATTGTTAGTATGTTGAGTTAGTATGTAAGTAAGCCTTCCGAGGTTAGTAGGTCTTTATTAGTGGCGGCCTAACGTTTCGAACAAGTCGTCTTCTTCAGAGGCCTAAAGTGGTAGGAGATTTTGATTATGTGTCTAACCCACCAAAATCCTCCACCACCCGACCAGCCTCGATTTTGCCCCAGAATATCACAAGAAAAAGTCCCAAACGTGAAAGTGATTGTAAAGTGCAATCACGGAAAATCAGGCGTACAGTTCTCAAAAATCTGAAAACTCTCTAAAAAGAATGATGTCCTCCGTCATACTCTGAGGTTCATGAGGTCAAGAAGAGGAAGAAGGGGTCGTTTGAAAGCTTTTATGAAGGGGGGGGGGGGGTCGTTTTTTAAACAATTTGTGCCTGACCTCTTGCTCAACTCTGGTGACGCCCTCCACGAGTCACTCGGATGTGGTGCCCTTTTCTCCATTATTTCTCCAGTAACATTCTAGAGCTTTTGAAGTATACTTATAACTTGGCCTAGCGGTTCAACCGAGAAATCGCAGAACCTTTATGGTTCTTTGAATTTATCCCATTTTAGTTGTTTTGATACGATTTTTTGGTTTGACAACGTCTCCAAGCTTTTCCAGTTTTCGCATCACTGAGTAAATGCATTAGCTGTAAACCGGATTAGGGCTAAATTTCGGGAGTAGAAACATCGGCAAAATAATGATTTCAGATTAAGCGATGTTATTCTTCGTCTGATTTTCTTCGCGTTGCTAAATTAATTTACATCTCTATCTCATTCACCATTTCTCTTCAGCAACTTCATTTCTCCCTGGGTAGGGATTTATATAACCATCACTTTCCAGGCTATAAATTCATGTGAATACGTTATATGATTTTTCTTTTACCACAAAAGAAAACATTTGTAAATTGGCTACTTTAATTTTCAACAACATGAAGATTTTACATAGCATTTCCCGCGTTACAGTGCGTTCCACCAAATATCTATTTCGATATTACAAAAAAGACCCAAATCCCTTTCAGTACCTGGCGTGGAAGAACGTTTACACTACTTTTTGTACCAAAAGGAACAATTTTCCAACTTATTCAATACGACTTGTTCTGAAAGGCTCAATCATGATGTTACAGATTCGCGACAAAACTCTCCCAAGCCGATTCATGATAATGTTGGTCAAGAGGTATCGTATGCATTTTCTTGCCGTCAATAGTTCCCTTATCTTTCATTCTGTTTTTAAGAGTTTTTGAGAAAGACTTCTAAATGCGGAGTTAATTACTGTAGTTACTGTAGTTTCTCACTGTGATAGAGTGAAACATGTTACCTCTGCCTAAGGTTTTCTTTAAGGTCAACGTCACATTGTCCGTCATCAACAAACCAGTGGATGAACATGGAAACCATATAAGCGACGTACTCAGTGAGCATGCAGATGCTCTGGATAATGTGGAAGATGACGACGTATTCGCACTTGACAGCGATATAATGGAACTGGAGGCTTTCGTAGTTGAAGACGGTTCTCAAACAGAGTTACTTCCAGTTAGTGAATACTCAAATGTAAGTTTTATTTCTGGTTATGGTGACTGATACACAAATACAAATTGGTTTCGCTCTAACGAGCCAAGCGACTTTTCTGTCGAACGGAAATCGGGCGGGCCACACTTGGGGTGCTGAATACCGGAGGTGAAATCACAATCGAAGCTGACCTGTAAACCTAAGGCTCCCGCCAGAGTGCCGAAGTTATGCCAGCGTTACGCCAGCATTTCGATCGATACACGTGTATTTCGTTGGGGCGGGGCTAGCTGACGTCCCCAACGAAATACACGTGTATCGATCGAAATGCTGGCGTAGCGCTGGCATAACTTCGGCACTCTGGCGGGAGCCTAATCGCATAATATTCTGTCTTTTCGTGATGTTTAATCCGCTACAAATTTTTAGAACCTAAACTTCCGCAAACCCAATAAAAGGTTCAGACCGTTTTTTGCCTGGATCCCTCCTACAAAAGTCTCTCATTTGTAATATTGTTAACTGTCACAAAGGACAGATGACTCTTTTCTTCAATAAAGTGCTTACCTTCATTCAATCACGTTGGCAGTTATAGGTAGTGGCTCGGCAGAACGAGCCAATCAGTTATCCCACAGCAAAGTAGAAGACCCCTTAGAGGCAGCGTCCTGGCATAAGTCGATTCTAAAATTCTTGCCTGAGCCTATGCGCTACACTGAAATTTGCACTAGAATGCGCGAAAACGGCGAAGGGTTCCAATGCAAGAGGGAAATCATGGTGGGGGAGGGGCAGGGCAGGGATGGTCTGGGGTCGAATTGGATTTGGTTTTTGAGGTTTGAGGAAAGCAAGGGGAAATCGTTTTTGCAGAGTCCGGGTCGGAGCACCGAAATGAAAAAATCGGAAAACCTAAGCCAGGCGAAAGTTATTTCGCCTTGAATGTGCTCCTTAGCGGGTTCGGAATTTGAATGCAAGATCCGTACAAAAAATGGCTTATTTACAACGCACAAACAATCACATGGTACTTTCGCTTCCCGCTGAAAACCTTATAGCAGTTCGTCCGCTGCCAGCTTTAGCGTCCCGCTCAGTGCCATATTTGTGGTCCGCTCGCTTCTACGTTCTAGGGATCGTTCAGACCACGCCGCTACCCATTCGAATCCGCCCCGAACCCGCCCAAATTCCGAATCCGTCCAAACCCGCCTGAACGCCGGAACTGCCAAAGCGCCAGATACTCAGATAATCGCGGGGGGCAGGCGGTCCGCAAACTCGCGTTTTCTTGCAGGCGGTCAGCAGAATTTTGGGGCGTGGCCAAACCTTCAGCGGGCGGTACCTCCTTTACTGTCGAATGCTAGCGGGGCATACAGAGTTTTCTGCGGGCGCTCTTTCAGCGAGCACTGGCCAAACTTTCAGCAAGCGCTCGGACTCTTTTTGAGCAGTTTCAGGCATACGCTGAGCACGCGTAAGACTCTGGGTGATAGAGCGGTCACCTTTGGTTCAATTACTCAAGTTTGAGGTATTTCTCTCAGCGGAAAGTACCTGGGGGCTGCGCGGTCCTTCACAAAGGACCGTGCGGCCCGCGAAAATTTTGCATATTCTCGCGGAAAGTCCGCGAGAATGCAGCCATTGCGCCGCAACTAATCTATAAGGAAAGCGCGATTGTTCTCCAAGCATTTGTCTAAAATTACGCTAAATCTTCCAAATATCTGCAAGCGGACCGCAAAAGATAAGCGAACTATTTTTCCGGTGCCCGCTCGCCCATAAATCGCATGGCTGCCTGCCCCCGGCGATTATCTGAGTATGCGTCGAGCTACGTGTGACTAAGATAGATATATGCACCACGCGCGCAGTATTGCACGCGTGCTTCAATATGCCAATCTGGACGCATATCTGATGCGCTTTGGCAGTTCCGGCGTTCAGGCGGGTTCGGGCGTATTCGGACATTTTTGGGCGGGTTCGGGGGGATTCGGACGATTTGGGCGGATGGACGGGTACCTGCACGGCCTGAGCAATCCCTCACCGGGACGCGACAGTGAGGCGATAAGGCTGACAGAAGTTGGTTCATGAGGAATTCGATTGTTTGAAATAAAGATTCGTACAGGCATATGAGTTTATTAAGGTTTTCTTACATCATCATACACCGCGAGGACAAACAGTCACTAGCTAATCATATTCGAAGTTAATCTGTTGCCTTTCATATGCTTTCTCAGAGTACTTTGTAAGCAATCTTCTCACATTGTATATCATCCTAGATTCATGAGTCATGTACCACCGGTAATCAATTCGCTTTGGTGTTTTCCGCCGCATTGGTTTGGTGCTCACGTTTTGCTTCACCCATGCAGGACGTGGCAGGCATTCACACCTGGCGCTTTGCCAGTCGTCATCAGCTGATTCCGCAGCCCATCAGATCGTTTTTTGGCCAGTTCTTTTATTTTCGCTTTTCTTGTCGGATTTCCGCTGGAAAATTGATGGGCCGGCCCTAATCAAACAGATGTATATGCCGTTTTTGCAATAACACCTAGAAAAGTGGATTTTTTTATCACCTAATAATTTTCTGCAACTGATTCTGACTTCTCTTGTTCTTTTCTTTGCCAGACGTCACCAGCTGATGTCGCGTGGTTGAAGGTAAAGTGTATCTTTAACCGATATTCAGCAAAAAAAGTTGAAGTGCTTTAAGTGCGAAAACAGGTCAACAGTGAAAATTCATTCTCCTAGTTGTTATTGCAAAAACGGTATATACATCTGTCTGATTAGGGCCGGCCCATCACTTTCCCAGCGGAAATCCTGACAAAAAAAGCGAAAATAAAAGAACCAGCCAAAAAACTATCTGATAAGCTGCGAAATCAGCTGATGACGACTGGCAAAGCGCCAGGTGTGAATGCCTGCCCGTCCTGCATGGGTGAAGTAAAATGTGAGCACCAAACCAATGCGGCGCGGAATACAATAACGAATTGATGGTACATGACTTACAAGTCATGACTCAATCTAGGATGATGTACGATGTAAGAAAACCGCTATACACAATGTGAGAAGATTGCTTACAAAGTACTCTGAGACAGCATATGAAAGGCAACAGATTGACTTCGAGTATGATTAGCTAGTGACTTTTGTCCTCGCAGTGTTGACGATGTAAGAAAACCTTAATAAACGTATATATCTGTACGAATCTTTATTTCGAAAAATCAAATTGCTCATGAACCAACTTCTGTCAGCCTTATCGCCTCATGTCGCGTCCCGGTGAGGACGTAGAATCGAGCGGACTACAAATATGGTACTGAGGCGGGACGCTAAAGCTGGTAGCGGGCGGACTGCTATAAGGTTTTCAACGGGAAGCGGATGTGCGGCGATAAGGGCACGGCGCTTTTGGTGGATTTTGGCGGTGGCTTTGTGGCTGCCGGCTGAGAGTTTTTGATGGTTTGAGTAAGTCGCGAAGTCTGGTACAAGCCTTAGGATACAGGTACATTTGTTATGCTCGGCTTTAGGAATACTCTGCGTCATTTACCTTGAAGGGTTTTTTATTTGTCTATTCAAATAAAGGGTTTTGAGAAGTGCTTATATTAGGTTGTAACGTAAGTCTTGAGACACTCTCACTTCTCACGGCGATAAGTCATGCGGTTCACATTCTCAGTAGGGATCCAAGATTTATTCGATAGAGCAAAGCAAGCTCTACCAGATGGTTTGCAAAAGTTCGCACCACTTCAACTCAATGTAAGTTTGCATCCAAAATCTGATTCGTACTGAAGAATTCGCGGAAAATTCATATCTTTGTTCAAAAAAATCCTACGAATCTTCAACTTACTCATAAAAATTGCATACTTATTATACACTCCTTTGAACCGTTTCTGGATTTTTTCCTCATTTAGAAATCGAGAAGACGGGAAATTTCATGTTTATACGTAAACGGAGCTATGCTGTTTTCATTTATGTAATTGGATAGTACAAGCCCTTAGAAGTATAACCGTAAATTTTTAGCTTACTGTAAGCCTCAGTTTTCGAGAAATATTGATTTTAGCATGAATACCAAGTGAGGAGAGCTAAATTCGGTAATTTTCGAAAAGTAGGGGCTGTGGATAACTGAAAATCTAAGTTATGCTTCCAAGAGCTTGTAGTATACAATTACATGAGTAAAAACAGCATAGCTTCGTTTTTGTACAAATTTGAAAATTTTCGTTTTCTCGATTTCTAATTTAAAAAAAAAAACCCGGGAATGGTACATATGAGTGTCTGATGTAGTGTGCAATTTTTACGAGCAATTTGGAGATTTGTAGTTTTTTTTAGATGAAGATATGAATTTTTGCGATTTTCTAAGGCTTCAGTACGACTCGGATTTTGGAGGCAAAATTACATTGGGTTGAAGTTGGTGCGAAGTTTGCAAAAAATCTTGTAGAGCTTGCTTTGCTCTATCGAATGGTGTCTTGGATCCCTATTGAAAATGTGAACTGTATGACTTATCGCCGTAAGGCCTAAGGCATACCTCACGCGATTCCAGTCGCTGCCGATCTGGCACTGCAGCGACTCTTCATAACTTGTAGTAAGCGCGCTTTACATGGGCCAGACTTGAAGCTTTTGCCATAACTTACGGAAGCTACGAGCCCATGCATTTTGAACCCGCACACGGTTGATATGTAAACATCTGGCAAACCGCCAAGTCGCGTGGATGTAGCGATTTGACGAAATCGCGCGAGGTGTGCCTTAGGCCTAAGAAGTGAGAGTGTCTCAAGTCTTATGTTACAACCCAATATTTGCAAAATTACTGCTGTCCGAAGTAAATTATTGTAACGGAAATCTTCTTTAAGCGAAAAAGGCGAAGATTGAAAATATGCCAAGCCATGCCTTCAAATAATATTGGACCTGCGATACTGATGCCATATAAGCGGCCTGCAACATCGTGCTCGCGATCCTTCTTATTCGTAGCGCAAATCGCCCGATTGAAAGGCTGCTATGCACCTCATGTCTTACTTGACCATGGATACATCTGTTTCTTGTAGGAAATCAGTCAGACCTCTCCAGCCCTTCTCAAAGACATGATGTTCTGGGAAGCTTTAGACGAAGAGAATTCACAAGAAGTGCCACAAATCCAATGGAATGTTAAGGAAGCTACTCGAGAACTTGCAGTACAAGCAGTTCCCCTCACGGTAGGTCGCTAATTTATTCGCGGATCTCTAAGATTGGTGTTTATAGGCAGAAAGTAGCATTCAATGTCATAAAGAAACTACTGAGTGCAGCACTAGTATGGAATCAGCACTCTGTGATAATAGAACTCAGACCGAGACTGCAAAGTTGTTCTCTACAGATGTCCAGGTCCAGGTGCTCCTAAATCGTTTCCATCCATTACCCTGGCATAGAAATCGGATTTCTCCGAAGTTCGGAGTGATCTCCCCTTACCTTTTTGAATGTCCATTGATGAAGTGTGCGTAATTACAGACCAACAATGAGTGCAGAACGTCTGAGTCTACAGTGGTCCAGACCGATGACATCAGAGCAGAGGTGAGCACCAGCTATGTACAAGATGAACACAACAAAATCAGCACTGTATCGAATCATAAGCAGATATTACTTTGCTCTGAGATTACCACTGTGCTGTCAAAATCACGGGTCTAATCACTGAAATGCCTTGCACTTGGGTTACATTCGAATTCAACTAAAATTCGGCGCAGCTGTGTCACCAGCCTCATCGGACAGTGTCTCATTCAGAGCTCTGCAGTATACTGTGACCGAATCGAATAAATATTCGAGTATTCGAATATTATTCGAATAAAATTTATTCGAAATTCGATTAATCGAAAATCAGTCGAAATCTCGAATATGGTGATATTCGCTTATTCGAGATTTGTCAATTTCGAATTTATTCGATTATCCGGTTATTCGAAATTTTTGGTTCTCGAATATATTCGAACACTCGAATATCTACTTTTAGAAGTTATTCGATTAGTGCATTTTCGTGTAGTCAAATAACTACATGACAACATAACATCTTTTACTGCTATATTGGCAAATACCGTTTATTGTTCAAGTGGCTCACTTCATGGAGTCCTTCATTGTGCTAATTCGACCAAAATTTGTTTGAATATTCGACATAGTCGATGCAAAATATTCGTTTATTCTAATTTTTTTTCTCGAATATATTCGATTATTCGAAATTTTTTCATTTCGATAATATTCGATATTCGATTATTCGACAATTTTCTTACTTCGAAAATATTCGATAATCGAATATTCAATATTCTTGATTTTCGAAAATATTCGGTATTCGAATATTCGACATTTTCTGTTTTTGAAAATATTCGAAATTCGGTTATTGACATCTTTGGTTTTTGAATATATTCGATCATTCGATTATTCGAAAAATTTTGATATTCCACAGCATACTCTGCAGTGTACTTAGGGAAATTCGTAATTGTTCTCGAAATTCGAATATCAGTAATCCGAATATCGAGTAATATTCGAAAACCAAAATTTTCATATATATATATATCTGAATCGTATTCGGAAATCGAAATTTTCGAATAATATTTGAACGACTATCGAATAATATTTGAGTATCGAATATCATTCGTTATTCCAATTTCAAGTATTACAACTTTCGAATATTACTCGATTTTCAGTTATCATTCGATTTTCCCATTCAGATAATTAATGTAAATGAGATGACTGCCTTTGAGAGAAAACAGCTTAGTGTTGACGTCAAGAGACTTGCGAACTCAAAAGCGTAATCCTGTGACGACTGTGAAGAGATTTATAGACCTCAAGAAAAATGTATACCCTCCAAGTGTGGTTTGATATATAGGGGTCCCAAAAGTATGTAGCTCTGTGGGTTGACATCAACTTACACTTAGTATAGAGCGACTCATCGATTGTTCTTCACTTTTGTAAAGTTACCGCAGAAAAATTGAAGAGGGTTTTGAGACATTAAAAGCAGTTTTGCTCAAGTAGGGAGACAAAAAACCCAAAATCTTGCATTAGACTTCTAAAGACACTCACATATATAAAATTTTGTTCTTAACTCTAAAGCTCTTTTCTCAAATTATCTCAGGTACACCTTAACACGTTGACGACAGTGCCGCGCAATGGTGCGCGGCAGGCAGTCTGTCCCTGTGGACGACGCCGCGCAATGGTGCGCGGCGGCCTTAAATTCAATACTATCTGTCCAATCCTCTCAGTTTTTGTTCATATAATCAACATAGGCTCAGATGTACTTCATGTATTAGCCCCGCCCTTTTGGCAAACTCCGCCCACTTTTATGCCTCTCACAAGGATCCTTTTTGTCCACAAAAAGCATGGATGAGGCTGTAGATGAACGCAAAGACTTCAAGCAACTAGCACTATTGCCTGACGGTAGCCAGGCCCCGCCCACCGTCAGGCAATCTCCGCCCACTTTTCAAAAGTGGCGGAAATCGCATGAATTCTTGAAATTTGGGCAATTTCCGACATTTTTGGTCGAGTGGGCGGAGCTTGCCGGAGGGGGCGGGGCTTGCGCATTTTGTACTTCGTGCATCGATGCATGCATACATACATGGGCCACGCGTAGGGATGCATGGAAACGTCTCGTACACAGGGACAGACTGCAAAAAATGACTCGTCGTCAACGTGTTAACAAATGTTTTCCAAACCCTTTCAAAAACGTATTTGCACATTTGACAAGCTTGAAAAACTTGTGCGCATTCAAATCAGCATTCATAAAAGCTCTGCTATACAAGTTCTTAGATCCTTTTTTGGAGAAATTCCTTAAGATGTCCTACTTCGCGGTTCTCTTTATGATGGTCCTACCATGGCCTCACAGCAAGAAAAGCGATTGATCCTCTTTTTGCTGTGTATGTAAGCTGCATTCGTCTCTACAGGGTCTTACCTGAAGGTTGGCAAAAGACTTCCAAAGATAATAGCGATTAAACAGTGCGTAGATACTTTTGGGGCACCCCGCAGACGCTTTGGATATCGAATTTTCGAATAACAATCACATAAGCTATGGACAATAGTAGTCAAATCGCGTCAGAACTAAAATCGCGTGAAGTATGCCTGGAGCCTTAGGAGAAGAGGCAGCAAGATGAGTCGGTCTTTTTGCTTAAAGATAGATTGCTGACCGAGAAAATAGTCCGTGGCAAAAAAATCGAAATTCGTGTGAACGTGGGGAAATATATGCTCCATGACGACTAAGTCATTTTGTTGGCGTCCTGGAATATTATTAGCCTACGAAAAGGTATTACAAATTTTCAAAGACTACTTTTCACATAAATCCTCTGTAAAAAATATGCTGTATCATATTAGGCTGGAAATAAGTATTGCACCGAAATAGGTACGAACCGTGATAATTCATATTTTTCCATATTCCACGTATGATCCGGTATATCATTCGATAGAGCAAAGCTAGCTCTACATAGTAGGTCTCAAAAGGCACAGTTTGCACCAACTCTAATCGATGCAAAGTTTGAGGCGCCGAAAGCATAAAAAATCCATGCGTCCGAAAAACCCAATGAAATTTTTAGAAATCTGCAAGTATAAAAAATGGTACTCAAATTTTTGCTTGCTATCGCATAAACAGTCCATATCAGCATGTAATTCGGCAACTGCATTTATCGGCTTGAAATCGTAAAAAACGAAGGTTTTCATGTTTCTGTCAAATCCATGCTGGGCTGTACTGCTGAGAACACCCCGTCGCAACCATGGCAGACGTGTCTCATATAGAATCTCGAGTAAAAGCTAAGGCGTCTTTCCGCAAGCCACGCGCATTTAAGCGCTACAAGTGCGAGTAGCAGGAGAAGGTTACCGTCTCAGCCATTGTGACGGGGACGGCTAAAGTGGCTAGTTCACCAAAGGCAACGATTCGGAATCTTGTAAACTCTCCGTCCAGCTACCAACAACGCGGGTACTCTCACTGAGCGCTGGAAGGCAGATCTTTTGAAATGGCGACGAACGGATATCGCTTGCATACAAGAAGCAAAGTGGAAAGGGGCAAAGTCACGCGACAGTGAAGTAAGCTGACGTTGAGCGAATAAGCGATCACCTTATGAGCATAAAGATAGACACTGGAAGACAGGTCCTACGGGTCATAAATGCTTATGCACCACAGGTAGGATGTAGAGACAAAAGGAGGTATTCTGGCAGGGATGACTATATCAGCTCGTTACCACAACATGAAACGCTCTTACTAGACATTTGAATGGACAGTGGGAGAAAAGGGAGAAAGAGGCGCGAAATATTATGGAAACCATTCTTATGGAATGTGCAATGAGCAGGGTGAGCGCGTTATAGAGTTCGCCTCAGCCAACGACCAAGCATTAGCGAACACCTACTTCATCAAGAAGTTTGACCACCTGGTCACCTATGCGAACGGCGATCACGAACGCAGATAGACTGTTGTGCTATTCGACAAAGGGACCTCAAATGCGTAAAGGACTGCAAAGTCATCCCTAGTGAAAGCTGTATTCCCAATATAGCTATGCTGATCGAATTGAAGATCCCGGTAGATGTTCGCTCAAGAATAGCTACAGAGACCAGGACGCGCATTAAATGATGGACTAAAGAGCAACAGTAGGGGGAAAGCAGCCGCTGAAAGATCTCTCATGCACTTGAGGTGTAGGTCAAGAGGCGCAATTTTTCATTGCCAGTGGACATCAAATAGCGAATAATAAGCGTTTTACACCATTCTAAAAGTATTTAAATTCCAGAAGGATATATTAGATAGTTTCATAGGTTTCTTAATCTTGCTGCATTGGAATTAATTTAAAACAGCAGTTTTGAAGGTCAAGAACCCATGGAAATGCAATTAAAACAAATTCGTGAATATTTCGGTCGATTTTCCAGCAAAAGTCCCCAAATTCAGCAAATGGTAACCATAGACAAATGGTAAGCTTATGCACTTCATTTGATATTTTTTGCAGACTTGCGTAGCATTAAACTGAAGTCTTGAGTTGGTGATAGCCGGAGAAATCGCTCCACTTAACCGTCTCCCATGAACTTGCAGGGATGCCCAGAGCCGTCCTGGACAGGCCTGGGAACTTGGATCCACCAAGCAGCCAACAGGGCTTTCAGTACGAAGTCAGGAAGAAGAATTAATCAGGAAACATGGTGGTGGAATGAAGAAGTGCAAGCAGCAGTAGGACAAAGCGAAGCTGGAGGAAGATCACCAGGCTTACTCAGCAGCTAAGCGCACTTCGAAAAGATCTGTAAAGAGGGCGAAGCAGTCATACACGAAAGAGCTCTACGACAAACTAGAGTCCCGAGAAGGAGAAGAGAGATATCGTTTGGCGAAAACAAGAGCAGAGTCTACAAAGGACATGGAAGACTTCCCCCATATCAAAGATGAACTTGGTAGGACACTGCAAAAGCCGCAGGACATCACCAAAGATGCAACATACTTTGAAGGGATGGCTACCACAAACCGCATCATTACCTTCACGCCAAGCATTGAGCCGTACCAGCAGTTACAGCAGAAGAAGTATGGGTAGCAGTAACAAAAACAAGGAGGGATAAGGTAACTGGTCGGGACGACATACCTAGTGAACCTTCTGGAAGGCATTTGGACAATTTGGAGCCTGCTTTCTTGCGAGTCTTCTTAATCCAAGACTATGCCTTGTGATTGGCATATATAACAGCACAACGATTCCGATATCGACATCGCAGCTGCGCATCCCACCGCCCAATCCGACAGATAAACCACACTTCAAAGATTTTCAAGCGAATAATTGAAGCAATACTTCTAAGTGACATAGCTGTCACCAACCCAGGCGGATTCGTGAAAGGAGTAGGCACCACCGTTGCCATCCACTCCACTCGGATTGTGATGGAGGAGTATAGAGAAAAATAGAAGGAGTTGCATGCAGCCTTCCTAGACCTCGAGAAAGCCTTCGATAAGGTGCCCATGAAGTCATATGGTGAGCATTACGAAAACACATGGTGCCAGAGGAGCACGTCCTGTGGGTCGTTTTATACTGCCGCACTGACCGCAGCATACTGCAGCTGACTGCACTGACTGCACTGTCTGCAGCAGACTGCAGCTGATCCACTGGCCGCAAAGGCCGCACAGATCGTTGCATCCTTTCGTAAAAGAAAAAAAAACAATTGCGATTTCGTCAAAACAGCATGATTCAGGCTAGGAACTAGGAAGTTCATAGGTTCTAATTTGCTCTATTCAAATTTTGGCGATTGTTTTTCTTCGGTAAGCTCATATTTGTTCTGTTCCACCTGTTATTGCATATACCTGTTTCACTCTCCCCGTTGTCTTTTGGATCTAGGCATATATTGTCGTTGATTGTTTGGGCCACAACTAATTATCCTCTCCACCTTTACGAAAGGATCCAGCGATTTGTGCGGTCAGCTGCAGACAGCTGCGGTCAGCTGCGGTCGCTGCAGTCTGCTGCGGTCAGTGCGGCAGTCTGAAGCAACCCAGTGGATCAAGATGATCTCACCACAATCCAAAGAATTCCCGATCAAGACTGGGGTGCATCAAGGTTCGGTTCTGTCTTCTCTGCTCTTCAACACAGTTATGAACGCAGTCACAGAACCCCTCAGCCGTAAACCACCTTGACTACTTCTGGACGCAGATGACGTGGTCATGATAGCAAACAGCAGAAAGGAATTGGAAGAGCAAGTGCAAGAATGGAAAAGCAGGCTAGAGCTGTATGGATGAAGCTCAACACCAAGAAAACAGAATATATGGATGTGGAGAAACAGACCAAAGGAACCATATGCATACTGGTGAAGAGTTGAAGAAGAACAACGTACAAGAATCTAGGCAGTCGCATCTCAGCGGAATGTCCTACAAGAGGAGGCTGCAGGTAGAGTAAACAGCGCATGAATGAAATGGAGAACACTAACGAGAGTCATGTGCGACAGACGAATGCCAATACAACTCAAATCACAACTGTACCGAACGGTTACCCGGTGGCAGTATATGGAAGTGATTGCTGGCCGCGCACCAGGAACGACGAGCGCAAGCTCAGCGTCATAGAAACACGGATGCTACGATGGACCTTGGGTGTCACAATGAAAGATCACATCTGTATGACACGTTGCGAGGCCAAATGAAAGTAGCTCCAACTGCCCAAAAAATGCAGGAATGGAGGTTAAGATGGTATGCGCACGTACGCAGAAGGGAAGAAAGCCCATCACAAGAATAGCAATGGCCACGCAGAAGACCTAGGGATAGACCTAAGACAAAGTGGATCAGGATAGAATCAAGGCCGACTTGCAAGAAACTGGAATGGAAGAAGGCCTTGTCTCTAGTGACATGAGACATCCGACGCAAAGGGCAGACCCTGCATAGGCGGAGCACTGCGAGGATTGAAAAAATATCAGACCCTATCTATATGGGGAAATACGAGTTACTGCGGTTAAAAGCTATTTTGGTACAAGACTTAACCTAGCACATATTGTCCAGATTTGAAGTCATTCGCTTGTCTTTGCACAGTAAACATGGCATTCGTCTATGCTTGTCTTGCTTGTAGCTGTTTAAGTTGTGTGCGCTCTATCTAAGAACAAAGTGAAGCATGTCAATTGCGACAACTTGTTTCTAAAGCGTTCGTTTGTCTGAGAGGTCACTTATAATGGTCGCAGGTTACATACATGTTTTACGATATCTCCTTAGCTTTTTGTTCCATAAACGAAAGTCAGCGTGCTTCTACACCTTCTGCGCTGGACCTCGCCCGTGTTCGTGCATTAAAGTCAGTGGGCAAAAAGTCGATTTTGAGATCTTGTGCTTACCCGGGCCTATTCGCCATCTGAATCCGAAAAGCCACAAAGGAGAGCGCGGCAAGGGCGAAAAAGGGCCCTAACGCTAGAGGGAAATCAGCAGGTGGGCGGGGTCTTCACCAATGTGAATTTACGCCCCCTACTTCCGGAACGATCTTCTCGATTCCGCTAGCCGCCCCTACGCCTGCGTTCATACTGATCCGAAAGTTCGGGAACAGTTCCACAACGCATGAGCTGAGCGCTGTGCTGGGACTGTTCCCGGACATCGGGATCAGTATGAACGCAACCTACGCCGCCCAAGTGCGAACGCGTGACTTGAAATCGGGACCGAGAAGATCGCTCCGGAAGCTGGGGCGTGACTCCACAGTGATGAGGGGGGCATGCGGAAGGCGACAACGCACACGAAATGCAAGCAATGTAAGATCGCTCTTGCTTATTTTTACAAAATTTTAGTTGTGGTATCGAGTCATGTATCTGCTCCACCCCCCTTGGCGCCGTGTCAGTTCAGCACAAAAGAGTTTTAAAAGGCACAAGATTTGAGGACTGTCGCCTTCCGCACCACACCCCAATGGAGAGGCCCCGCCCACCTGCGTTTTCTCTCCTTTGTTGAGACCCTTATTCGTCATTTCTGCGCCCTCCAATGTGGATTTTCGACTTCATCAGAGCGAGGAGGCCCGGGTAAGCACAAAATCTCAAAATCGGGTTCTTGCCTGGACAGCGATTTCGAGATTTTGTGCTTACCTAGGCCTAATCTCTATGCTGAATCCGAAAATTAACATTACAATAAAGGATAAAAGATTCGGCGTCTTCAGTACCCTCTGGGGGCATGCACACACTAACTTCATAGTCGAAGAGGCAAATGTATGCGTGCGAGCCTATTACAGTGACTTGCGGGGGCCAGCCGTTTCCAAGTCAGTGCTTTTATCCTCCCAGATTACTCTGGTACCAATTTACCAGCCCCCGAGGATAGAGGGTTTGGTTGGCCCAGGGGCGGGATCGAACCTGGGTCCGATCTGGTCATAGTGGTGCCTCATACCACTACGCCACTCGTCCCCAAAATCAACATTGGAGAGCATAAAGTCTCAAAATCGACTTTTCGCTTGGACATTGCGTTTAAGAGCAGCTTTTTTTAAACGAATTCCCGCTTTCGCACACTATCTTCATTCAACTTACGAGTAAGGTAAGCTTATGGCAGCGCGCCGAGCTTACCGCAGGAGTTGCGGACGCCCTTTTGCCGGTTCAGCTTGCAGTGTTAAAGCATGGGAATATGGGCAATCAAGTTCAACTTACGAATTTGAGTCGAAGTAATCTGAGTTCAACTAAGGTGGCACGGTTTTACCATGTACCCCAGTGAATCAAGGCACTTTATGAAATAAATTTTGACTTTTCAACGTGTATAAGCCGATGCGAGCACATCTACCTCTAGATCACATCTACATCTGTGCAATGTGACGAGAAAATGCCTGAATACAGATCTATTGCTGTGCAGTACGGAGTTAGCATGTTTACGGTGCCTAACGAGGTACAACCATTTTTCTTCAAATTTGGACAAATTCCGTACACCAAATTTTAGGACTACATAAAACTAGAGGCCGAGCATCATGTTCACTTCAGCGTAGAAAGTGGTACATCTATGGACCAAATAAATTACGCAACACGTGGAACTCAGGTTTGTGACTACCTGACTACGCGAAACGATAACGTTATTGTAACTATTTTTTAGAGCGATAACATCTCGACTACTGTGTCCGTGCAAGTGCAGTGTAAGCCATCGATCAGTTCATCGCAAACGCAGTGTTTGACCGATGAGGGTGTTCCAAGAGAAAAGTCCATGGAGATCAAGGAAAATCAGGTTTGTTTGTCAATAGAGCGTTGGAAGTAATCCTACATTTATCGGCTCAAAAAATGTTTGATACTCAGAGTGCTCTTTTCATCTGGAAGTTTCCGTCCCGACTTTGTCAAAGATATTGATCGCACTTGATTTAGATCGAAGTTGCCCATGCTATTCTCTCTATCATCGATGCTGTAGTTGAAGGAGAGTCGGGCAACAATAGTGCTCTGCAAGCAGCTCCGTTTTGGAGCGATTTCGACCCGACACCCTCTTTTGATGAGCTCGTCGCTGGTTGGAGACGAAGCTCGCTTGTGACCTCGAGCGATATGTGGACACAATTTACGTTGAATGTCAATTCACAAGGGGCTCAGACGTCGAACATGGATACTGTACTAGAAATGACTGATAAATGCGACGTATCGACAGAAATGGAAGACACTGGAATACAAGGAGCTGCCGAGACCTACGAGAATTTTGCTAAGGTCACTGTTGCATGTCAAACATCTCATCTAACAATAACAGACACAGCGACGCAATATGTATTGGATTCCAATTCGCAGGAAGTTCAAACAACGATTGACGAAGTGATCGCCAAAGTGCCACCAGTTCCGCGCCAGATGCCGCCTGCAACCATGAGCGACAACGCTACGCAGTATGTATTAGATGTCATTCCAAAAGAAGTCCAAACTTCGGATATGGGGTCGGCACGGGACGTCAAAGACAAGTACTGCGAAGCATCAACGAGAATGGTAGACAGCAAAACACAAGCCACTTTGGATTCTTACGAGAATTCTAAAGTTGCTGTTGCTCTTCAAACATCGCCTTTGGTTACTAGCGACACATCGACGCAATGTGTAGTGAGCTCCAGTTCGCAAGAAGTTCAAACCTTGGAGCTTGAAAGGAAAATCGGCGATAACTGCGAAGCATCGAGGAAGATCGCGGACTGCGGAGTGCAAACCGTGGCAGAATTCTACGAAAGTCCTACTCAAATCGCTGTTGCTCTTCAAACACCGCCTTTGGTTACGAGCGACACATCAACGCAATATGTAGTGCACTCCAGTTCGCAGGAAGCTCAAACATCGGATGTGGAGCCCCCACGGGAAGTCAGCGATAAGTACTGCGAGGCAATGACGAAAATGGAGGATATCGAGGTGCAAGTTACCGCCGAACTTTACGAAAGTTTTGCAAAAGCCGCAGCATGCCAAACATGGGGGGTGTCCATGAGCGAAACAGCAACGCAATATGTAGTGGAATCCTATTCACAAGAAGTGCAAACAGTGGATATGAAGACTGTTAAATTGACTGACAAATGTTGCGAAGCTTCGACTGCAGTAGCTGAGAACGCAGTGCAAGCCACCACTCAGTCTCGAGAAATCGCCATTGGCCAGACAGATAGTGATAGTTGGATAAAGGTAATCTGAAAACTTCTCAGCACATGCGAGGTTTGCACTGACACCTCAAAATGATTCGCTCCAGGCATGTGCCTCCTTCTACTTAATTCCGCACTTCTGTTCCTCATACATGTCCCCACACTGATTTTGTTTCACTTTGCACCGAATTCTATATGTTCCAGCCCTAAAGCTCCTCATTTAGATCTATGTGGAAGAACTGGATAGAGCGAGAAGATTGCGATCCGTAGATCTTGGAGTCCAGACCGGTGTGCTCGCTCGAGTGCAGCACTTGTACACCAAGGAAATAGAGGCTGATGTGGAGGTATTTGCACCGGTAATTTCTTGCTCAACGCTTTCAAAAAGGCACTTGTAGGCCTCACGCGCCCTAAAAGAGAGCGGCAGTGCAGAAGAGGCTGCTGCGAGTGCTGTCAAGAGGAAGTTGGACTTTATTTTGATATCGGTAAAGAAACTGTCTATATAACCTCTTCCCTAGGCTCTCCGAAGGTGTAGGAAGTAGCACAACACCGCCCATTATCATATCTCATCCTGGGGTCCATTCGATCCATTCGCTGGATCGTTTGCGTACGGTCTTTGAGAGTGGAAGTTCGAGCTCGTCGCAGTTCCAATCTGTGCCATCATCACAGTAATAAATGCTGCTTTCCGACTATTTTGGCTAATCGGTTGATTTCAGTTTCACCACGCCGCCACCGCATGTTCATTTGCCCGATAGGAGTAAAAACGCATTTCATCACGTAAGCGCATTTTATCATAGTCGAATTTATCGCGTTTACTTTCTGTTCAGGTATCTGATTTAAAATCACTCTTTGAGAAGCCAGAAAGTGATGAGCACCCTCAAAGCCCACCCACAGCCTCTCGAAGAAACTCTATGATATGATGGGATACGTACAGAAATGTGTTTCTTCAAAATTTACACCCAGAAAGGTTTCCTGTATGTGTCAACGCCGCGCTAACGCCGTTCCAGCGACGAATAGTCGAATGTTCGAATAGTCGAATATTCGCGAAAGCTCGTTTATTCGATTATTCATATAGTCGAATAATGGAAAGGCCCGTATTCGAATAATTCGTTCATTCGACGACTTGAAAAATGACTTATTCGAATAATGATCGAGGAATTTTAAAATACGCTTATTGAAAATATTCGAATATTCGAATACTGCATTTGAAATTTAATTTATTGAAATAGTCGAGTATTCAAGCTCATTTATCTGATTTTTCGAAAAATCGAGTAACGGAAAGACCTGTATTCGAATAATTCGTTCATTTTAAGGTTTAGAAAAATGACTTGTTGGAATATTCGAATATTCGAGGGATTTCAAAACACACTTACATATTCGAATATCCGAATACTCGAATATTGCATTCGAATACTTGAACATTGTATTCGAACACTCACATATTGCATTCGAATATTTGAATATTGCATATAAATATTCGAATATTCATTTATTCGAATAGTCGAAATTCGACTATTGGAATATTCGAAAGATCGAATTTTCGTATGTGTCCATATTTGGATATTCGACCTTGAATAAAATGGAGATCGGAAATCGAATAATGTTCGTTCATTCAAGAATTTTTCGAAAACCAATTGTTCGATATTCATTAGTTCGAAAAAATTTTGAAACGAATTTATTCGATACTCAATCGTTCGATGAATTTCGAAAATCAGTTGCTCGATATTCGTTCATTCGATAAAAATTTCCGTTTGTCACAACTATATTTGTTGTCATAACACTATTTCTATCTTTCTGAATGGAAAAAATTATTGACTTGGATCATCATGTTATTTCGAATTTTTTAGTAGAGCATGGATCAGTATGTATGCGAATCTGTAACAATGCGTGCATTTTTTCATCTGAATCGTTCACTAGCTGTAATGAGGAAGTTTGAGCTTGTTATTCTTATATATTAATGATGTGTGTTCCCTCAAAGTTTAGTTCGTTTTATAATGAATGCTTCGTTCCTTTCGTGGCATATAAATAATTAGATAAGCGAAGGTGTCAGGTGTCATGTGTCTGCTACTGATGAGAAATTCTGTGCATATGCTACTCTTACACATACAATAAGCATTTGTTACAAACAATTGCACCAATGCCTTTGAAAATTGTGCACGCATTTTATTATTTTCTCTTCAAAATCGCCAAAACTTTCCAATGAGAATTTGTTTCCTAGCCAAAATAATTGTTATTGCTGACACGAGCCGAAAGCATTTTAATCGATTACGACAGCGATGAGGTGTATGTCACAAAAGTCTTACTCCTTAAAAACTACATTGGGCAAAATTAGCAAAAGCATAGAGCATATTTCAGTAAGATTCTGTTATTATTTATTCTGCAAATATCATGGATTGTACTCAAAATTCACCTCAAGACTCATTTGTAGAAGGTTAAAGAATGTTCAAAATTGAGCAGAACTAAAACATTTTATTTTCGCCCTATGTCTGTCTTCTAGCTACCACAGAAACATCTTACCACTTAGCAAGCTGCTGTAATACAGTGCTTTTTCAAGCTATGAGTTGACGCTTTTACAGTCGATCACGCGACAATATCGCGACTAACAAGGGAAGGAAGCTCAGTCGAAATGTCCTTTCTGTGAAGAGTATGAAACACTGATTCCAAATCTACCTTTTTTATCTGCTGCGGGCTTCTGAGCAAGGAGATTCAAAGGTTTTTTAAAGGCAAGAAATCAACGCATGAACAGTGTTAAATCAGTCGTTGACTTCTCCTAGTGTTCAAAGATGGCAGATTTAAGTGGATATGTTTAAGTTAAGAATATTTAATACAAAGAGTAACGCAAAAATTATTCGAGGGGAGATGTTGATTGTACGCCTTATTTTATCCTCTACACATGCAAATTTTTGCTTACAAAAACCTTGGTAACTCCTCACACAGGAAGCCGCAGCATATAAGGAAGGTAGATTTGGAATCAGCGTTTCATACCTTCAAGGCAGTATTCATCTTATATCAAACGGCCGCTTGGACTAACCTTCCTTGTAAGTAATGTCTCTTAGGGCATCTGTTACCTCGCGCAAAATTGGATATCGCGCTATTTGGCAGCACTACGATGGCTCATTGCTTCGTCGATCCGGGCGCATAAGCTAAAGGCGATTCACCGTACGCAGAGACAGAACGCACCGCCGGCCTTGTCGGCATCTCTCAGGTTAGCCCTTTTTCATTCCTCCATCGTCTGCTGCCTCTCCCCAAATCCCCAAAAGCTACTTTCTTAGTCTGATGCAGCGGCGTCCAGTCTTTGCCTGCGATGAATCCATTAATCTATACTTTCATTCATGAATGAAGCAAAGTAGTTGGCTGTCTGGCATTTCGGTATTGTGTCAAAAATTGCTAGAAAGTTGTTTACATATTATTCGCTTCAGAACAACTTCTTTTCCACTCTCGGATCCATAGAATTTACGTACTGGATAAATATCTAGTATACGGTTGAACATCCTGCTTTACTGTCCTTTCGGCTTGCGAGTCCCTTTGTCCGAAAATGTTGAAGACAGATTTCTGAACAGGGCATTCGACTGATGATGGAACAAAGTCGTGACAGGATGGAGTCATTTTACAGATTTGTACGCACCTTTAATGTTGGCTATAATGCAGTGACTAAGCTGAGCAACTACTATTTTCCCTCAGTTTAGCCAAATTCTTTCCGCTGAGCTTCACGTTAGCCTATGTATTCTCATTACGCAATTTTTAGTTTCTTCCTCTGCGGGTGCTCGAAAAGAATGAAAAGAGGCAGACTAAACTGGGTAAACTCAAGAGGGGAACGAGGAACTATTCTGACGTGCCCGGAAGCATGAGGTCCATATCAAAGGAACATGGATATACAAGGGATAAGCAGAAGTTGACTCGCAAACTCTACTCACTTCAGGCCATGGCCAAGCACTTATCTGGCTGAACGATATCTTGACTGTTATTTTTCCTAGAAACCTTGTCCACCGCTGAAACATAAGAAAAAAGAGCTGACTGTATAAGTAGGAGAGGCCACGGTTTTCTTGCTCAACAATTCTGTACTTTAAAAATTGCTTCAATGAAGCTTTAGAATAAGTGTCTGCCCCGTGTGAAGTTCTCACTGGGTCGCTTTCATTCCTGAATCGTTCGTCGTAATCAGCACAAACAAGAACTCTTGCCGCCGTCAGTGAACTTTTTGAAATAGTGGAAGCAACTTCGCGTTCTGTGGAAATCATCGGGCAAATCGTACGTGAGGCTTCAGCAGTGTTTCGAGTCATGCAATTCGCCAATTCAGCACGGAAACCTTGCTTCAAAAAGTCTGGTTTTAAGAAATGTAATAAAGTAATCTAACGAATAGACATTAGAGGATAAAACGCTTAGAAACGCTTTTATACCATATTTAATTGCTTATATATGTCTTATGTTGAAAATTCATAATTCCAAGCATCTAAAATCGTTTATCCGTAGAAAAATTAGCACAGAAGTTTTCACACAATGAACGGTCACACAAGCGAAACGCAGATCTTATAAGACCTTTCATCATTTTCAGCGACCGAAATGCGAAAGTTTATTTGGGTAATCTTTTCGTCTCTTATCTGTTAGTCCTTATCACCTTCGCAAAGCTTCTTTGAGACATCTCCGTTAGAGCCATCATGGAAATATGAGAACGCATGTTTCATTCTCTTGATGGAATCGAAAACTTATAAATGCTTTGGGAAAATAAATTTTTGTCTAATCTTATGTATAAAATACACTAATAAGATGGGTGATAATCAAGGAAACTGTCTATGAAACATGGATGAACTCTTGGTCACAGTATTCAACAAAAAAAAGTCGCGGAAAATAGCATCCTATCAACTGCAGAAGAAAGTGATTATCTATCAGAGGAGTGAACGTAATGAAAAGCCTGCGAACAGTTACGAAGTTACTTAGTTTTCAGAATGGTGCCTCAGAACTTGGGTGTATGCCAAGATGAACGATAGCTGGAAATAAGCATACTGTACTCGTGCGGTTGTCAATATGCCGCGCCTAAAGTCTTATTTTTTGAAGCGATATGTTCTTCACTGGGTTGAAAATGGTGTCGAACAGTAAGAATAAGGCGGTACCGAGCTTCTAGCGTTTTTTCCAAAATTTTAGATATCATCAGGCGTTCCGAGACATAGAATTCAAAGCGCGTTCAGAGCAAGCTTTGAGCTAATGCCATGGATGTTTAGAATCACAACGTTCAAAAGGGGTCCTGATAAAGTTCATTTGTCAGTGCATCACCGTGCAGTGTGCAATTTCCGCAACCAAAAGTTCGAAATTTCGTCATCGAAGCGAACACGACGGAGCGATAAGCCGCTTCTGTGAGTCAGAAGCAGCGGCCCGGGTCGTTCGGGACGCGGAGCCGAGGCGGAACGATCACTGGCCGGCCTCGTTTCGTTCAGCAACCGTAAGCGCTAGCGGTCGTTGTTCTGGGCCTTTGCTAAGGAATCGATCGTTATGTCCACACATCACCCAATTCGGGCGTTGGTCAGCCGGGTTGGGTAACGCCGGCTGCACACCGAGCAGCGCGCGATCTCCGCGCTACCTGTCATTCCGTTCGTGTTCTTCTTTCTTCACCTTGAATTTGCACTTTCCGCATACATGTTTCTCAGCAACGACTATTAGGGACGCCGCCTTTTAAGTGCTCCAAAGAAGTGCCATGACTTTGTTGCCTGGAAACGCCGTAAACTTTGGGTTTCCACGAAATTTTCGCATCCCCTTTTTATTTGCTTTTGATTTGCTATTTGTCTTCTGCACTCTTTCTATAAACTCTCTTCGTCTCAATCTCCAAATTTGTATGGTATCTCGCTTCCTTTTGAATAAGCAACGCGCAGCAATATGAAGAGATGACTGATTTTCTGATTCTCATTATGAAATGCACTCGGGAGGTGATAAA